TGCCCAGATCTGCTAACGTCAACACAATACAAGCAGCTGTAGGGGGAGTCACAGTGTCCTATTCGGCAATGAGAACCACAGAGCTACGATGCAGGGGGACGGTGACGTTTATACAGAGCGAGCCAGTGGCTCACTGGTTCACACGCCCTTACTTGAGGCGAGCCTCCAGGTGAGAAGCCTTGATTGGAGACGGGGGAGGTTGGAGACTGATTGGCAGAGGATCCAACCCTACTGCGGTACTGTTGGAGGGAAGAGGCCTGATACAAGAGGATACGTTTGAGTTATTCACATTGGAGGATGTTCTTCATTGGCGTTTGTGTGTGTACATGTGCTCATACTGGATGTGTAGCTCAGGTGCTTGTCTTACTGTAGGTTATCCAGTTACATTTTGCGAGCATCAGTTCAGCAGGTACCCCAACCTTGGAATCACTAAAATATTCACGTTTTGTAATGGTTGTAACCCAGCATACTAGCATCTAATGTTGAAATACAATTAAAACAATTACAGCAGTGAACACCATGTGCTGCATGTCACACCAATGCATTAATAATTCTGAAAAATATCTTGGAGAAACAGGGAAAACTACAGGGGATTAATTAGGAGAGGGAAAATGTTGCCAGCTATCAAAGCTAAGCAAGTGGATACTGTAAGACTGGAGGATCAGAGAGACCCGACTCTGCTCTCTTTTGTTCTGTTCTGTCATATCTGCTCTTTTCAATCCAGTCATCCAAAAAAATCCAAAAATGAATATTTGTACAGACCAAAAATAAACACCAAAGGGTTCTAATCTGATCACAAAATCAACTTGACTTTAGCAACACACAACCATAACTGTGGAAAGAAAAACATCAAAGTTACTATCATATTAAGTAACAGATAAACTATCAAGTAACTAAGATTTGAAGGTGTATCAAACAAGGCTGATAGTCTCTTATCACTCAAAAGCCAACAGGAGTTCAAACCTCCACATTCCTAATCTATTGATAGATAAACTATCAAAATATTGGTAGCATGAGATAGAGAAGTGATAGAGCAGTTCAAGGTCTCTAGATACAGATATTAACTACTGCAATTATAATTCCTCGAGGAGACATGTTTGAACTCTCAAGAAACAGAAAGAAAATACTATTTGACTGTATTTGCTTCAGACCTAAAATCCACAGCTTAGAAATGGAGGCAAACACCAGAAACCATCTCTGAAAACAAAGTAATACATAAAACAGGTTAGAGAACTGTAAATGAGCATCAGTGGTTGAATTAACATAAGATTAGGTCTAAGCTGTATTTCCTCACAATGTTTCCTTTGACCCCACACTGCAGAGTCTATAACGGAGAGCAGGAGAATGTAGGCCACTTCATTTCTGCAGTTATCCAAACACATTCCCACTGAAACAGAAGTAGAGCAGCGAGAGCCAAGATCTGAAGGACGTGCAGAGCCTTTCAAAAGCATTTCGATTTCTCAATGTTTTGCACATTTTGTTGTGCTTTTGTCTCATGTATCAATTTGGGTGTTTTTGTCTTAGTTCTGTGCAAAAAAAACTGCAAAGTAAAAGGACAAAAATTATTTTATGACTTTGACTTTAAAGATTTGTATTTAAGTAAAAAGAGGAAGCACAATTGCACTGTTGTAAACACAAGACAGTACAATTTTGATTTCTTTTTGATGTAGGTGATCAGACTTTTCACAATAAGTGCGCTCAAGAACAACTTCATATCACAACATCGAGGAGTCTGAATACTTTAACAAAGCAGCGTGTATCATCGAGACCAACACATCTGAACAGACACTATCGGGAAACAAATGAGAACCAGTCATCGCTGTGTTGCTGTCACAACACGACACTGTGATACACTGATGTGATGCAGACAGATGTGTCTCACCGTGTTCATGTCTATGGTCATGTTGGTGTGCGAGGACGTCTGGTTGTCTGACGTGGAGCAGGAGTTCACAGAGGACGACAGCTGGACCAGACCTGTCTGCTGGAAAATAAAAAGTGGAGTCATAAATAGATACAGACCTCACGTAATCATCAAGTAACACTTTATAGTTTTGATATTGGATCATCACAGATACGGTACATCAGTATCTGCTTTTATAGTATGTTGGCAGATAAAAATAATTAGAAGACCATAAATAGTTACAGGCTGAGTGATTATGACCTTAATTAATTCATTAATAATTAAAGTTTCATCTATTTTGTTGGATTTAGGTTTCTTTATGTACAGTAATTTAATTTCCAGTGGTTTACTGTTCAAACTTGATTTTTATCTTATATTTATTCTTACAGTCAAATATCCAACATTTCTTATACATACGTTTGCAACGGCTCTTTAAAAACAAATGCTGTTTCCATTAAATGTTTTTCTTCAGGATGTGTTGATCCAAGGACAGAGGAAAGTCTCTGCAGGGCTGAGGCAAATTAATAGATTTGAGTCCTACATCTTAATGAGCAGAATTATTTTTACAAAAATGTTTTCCATTATCTAGGAACCCTGCACGTAGTACAGTCTGTGAGGGAGAGACTGTAATGCAGAGTGGTATCTTCTCTGATTCAACCACAACTCAACAAGAAACCCCTCAACAGGAAACATGCCAAAGGTATGTACCCTGCTTGTCCTTTGAGACTAAATTTGTTCTACAACCTATTTAAGTAACAGACTTTTCTGCAAAAAATACTCCCTTTCATCAAGTTAATACATTTATTCTAAAACAAAACGTACCTGAAGCTTGGGACCACCCCATCTTTATTAACAGTTGGTAGTCTCGTTTTATCTCAGATATTGTTTATTTCACTCAATTATTCACTATCTGCCCACATCTGGATGCTGTCGTTGTAACTTGTCGTAGCTTTACTGAATTATCGTAATGCACGGGCATTGAATAATGGCTGCTTATGGCGTCCACACATGGGTTGATAAAATCTGTTAGGAATGAATATATTTACCCCCAATTTTTTTTTTTACACAGAATTAAAAAAGTGTTTTTAAATTGGACTATCTTTTGCATTAAACAGCAGGGTCCAGTAAAATGAAGCATTCTTACAGTGTTTTATAGAGTGCAATAATTGGACAAAATGCTTAATTCTCGCATGTAATTCAGGGATTAGTAACATTAGTTGGACTGCATTGTTTGATTGTGATCATAAGATTGCAAGAATTGAGAATGAACTGATGGACTGATATATTGGAAAGCAGTTGGCAAACAGACCTTGAGAATCTGTAAAGGAAAAGACACCACCTTCAGTCTCAGAAGTAACCAATCCTGTTAATACTTTCAGTACAGTTGGATGTGTTTTAATGCAATAATGTGTTTAATGTGCTTCATATTTTTAAAAATTATAACTTGCTATCCACAAGATGAAGCTGCTGAAGCTTTTTTGGACAGAGTGCCGCAGGAGAAACTCACTTGCTGGCTCTGGTGGTTCTGGGACGACGGCTGCTGGTTGAAAAAGGCATACTGGGACAGCTGCTGCTCAAGATTCATGGCATTGATGGCCGCCTGGTGGGAGCACAGCTAAAGATAAGACACGAGGTTCCAGTGTTTTATGGGAAATGCATTTATATCTTTTGTAGGATAAAATGTGCAAATGTTCATAATCCAAAGTATAAAGAATATATGCAATGGGCAGAGTAATTTCCCTTTAAGGGTATTCTGTACACCTTAAACATAACCTCATAACCCTAACACAACAAAAGGTCAATCTCAATCACTGGGAATTGAAAAATAAATAAACTCAAACATTCAATAATCAATTAAGCTTGCATTGTTGATTTTCATCGAGGTCAGGCCAGAGAGCAGGGCTGTACCTGAGAGAGACTGAGAGGTGGAGATGTTGGGGAAAGCTGCAGGTTCTGGTGCTGGTGGGAGTCTCCTGCATTCAGGATGAGAGGAACCATGTTGTCCTGCCCAGGCTGTATTTCCATGGTTACTGTGGGCTGAGATGTGTTCACTCCTACCCAGCACACAAAATGGCATAAGGAAAGAGTTTTTGAAAAGCACACACAGAGTCACAGAGAAACTGGCACAGAGTTGTGCACAATGTTGAAATGAAAAGTCTTTAATATCTGGCACATAACTACGGGAAAATCTGAAATTGTCTATGTTCAATGTGAGCAGACCGCTGTCGGTGGTGTTACCTTGCGTGTTAGCCAGGGTCTGTGTGCTGTTGGAGGAGCTGAACGAGGCGGCTGCTGCATCATCTGAGTCGAGCGGGGTGGGCAGTGGAGGAGGAAACTGGATGTTAGTCAGGTCAGGAAGAGAACCGCCAGTGTTGTGGGCTGCTGGTTTCAGTGAAGTGGTCAACTGCTGGTCAGGAGACGGAAATATGCTGCAGAAAACAGACGTGTGCAGTGAAAAACAAGCTTAACAGGCTGGCTAAGATCAGTGGATCACTGGATATTTTATGCAAATTACTGAGCAAATGTTTTCCAATGCAAACAACTCCAGAAATATTTGGACTTCATGCATTTGGCCAGTGGTACTTCTGCAAATGCTTTGGCTTCACGCTCTTATTACTTTGGCGGTCAAGATGTGAATGATGTTTAATTACTGTCAGATGGCTTTAATTTAAAGCTATGTTTAATTCATACTTGTTCATCTGATGTGTGTAAAATGTACTTAATTTGAAGCTGCCTGTGTGCCCTGAAATATCATTTTAACTTCACCATCCGTTATAACAGTGGAGCCATAGTTAAAACATTTTCATCAGAGCAGTTCTACACATGAAAACCAGTAAAATACTCACTGGATTCCTGGAACTTTGCAGGGCTTGGACCTTGAAATGTTCTAAAGGGGGGAAAAAATATTTACAGATAAATTAATAAAGACCACATAGAAATAATAAAAAAAACATTAATGTGTGAGTAGAAAGTTCCACCTTTTTGCATTCCCAGTTCTGTTTCTGTCCATCTTCATCAGCCTCTTGTTTAATTGCTTCAGCCCCTGGTACAGTGAGCAGGAGAACTGGAGAGATTGAGAAACAGCAAAAAACTAAAAATCTCCTCAGTCTCTTGGGTTTACAGATGTCCAGCCTGTTTGAGCTTATTATAATCAGAGCCCACATGTCCTTGTTTATCATGATCAAGCGATTTTTAAAAGACACAAAGTAAGAACGATAATAGAAAAATAGGAAGGAAGAAGAAAAAGTAAAAGAAAGTGTGGCTTTACGAAAGTAAAAAGATAAAACACTTGAATACTGAATGACAGTAATGGGGAAAGCCAAAAAAATTCTCCAAGGAGATTTATACAAATTCCGTGCTGCTGAAATTAAAATAATCCGCCTCACACGGCCATTAGCAGTAAAATTCATCGGACACTTGGATGCACCCAGTCTTCGCAGCAGTCATTTTTCTCCTCTGCCTTCAAAGCCACCTTCTAAACCCTTTCATCATACACTGGAGGGCACTCAACTGCACCGCCAAGAGAAAGCAGCAAAATACCACAAAAAATAAACAGGCTTAGAACAAAACAGATCCATCCACCATCGCCTACTGCAGATAATAAGAGAAAAACACCTGAACAGTCTACTTAAGAACTGACTCATTAAAACCTGATTAGCAGCTCAGTTTATATAATATGTATTGACTGGATACTGTATGAATTTATTGTAACACAGTTTTACAGTTTTGCTCAACCTACTGGTCAATATTTAATGAATATCCTCTTTCTGAACATATTCTCATGCATCCTAACTCACCAAAATAAAGTTTTAATCAACGTTAATATAAAAATCTCCTTCAAATAATGTGTACCTCGTTTTGGCTGCAGCTCCTGTGACCCTCCGGTGAAAGAGGCCTGCTGGGCAGGAGTTAATGTGCTCTGGTGCAGTGCTGAGTCAGAGTTTGTCCTGCAGCACAACAATTAAAAAAGTACACAGTGCATCAGTGCATTGTGTAGAGAAATCTGATAAAGAAATATTGTCAGTTGAAAAGCACAGAACATACAAATCACTCAACAAGAATGTTGTAAAGAGCATAAAAATAATCCTAGTTTATATTAATTGAAGCTTTAAATCGGACTTATACCACAATATTTAACTGATTTTTAGGCTCGTGGAGAGTATGCCTAAGTCTACAAACGGATATTGCGCTGTAATGTGCAGTAGTCACATCTATATCAAAGATGTTTGATTTTTAACACAAGGATCTTTACAAATCTGAATGTGATCCCATATTTTATAATGGCTAATGAAACTGTGAAAGGAAGCCACTAATTGTGTGATCATGCAATATATATTCAGAATCAGCTTTGATTTCAAAAGTGCAAAGCAGCGTGGTACAAGTCGGTATTCCTGGGCAGTGTGAAGGCTCTATTATGATCATTATAAAAAGAGTAAACACTAAGATATACAGTCATGCAGAGACGGTGGCTGTCTTACCTCCTCCAGCTAGTATCAGGTGGTGGTGACAGATATACTGAGCCATATGGACAGCTGTCAATGTGAGATTGCAGGTTAAGAAAATACAGCTGGAGACTGAAAGTCTTGGCAGATTCAACACATTCATTCCTGTGAATTCTTTAAAACACATAATGAAAAGCACAGTGCTAGTCGTATCTAAAAAAAACCTGCATGTGTAACATCCCTACCAAACATAATGATAATTTGACTTGAATTAATTACAGGCTGAAGTCAAAGAAACATCTGGAACACTCATGTGCCACATTTACATGTGTAACTTCAGTACAGAAATCCTATAAAACAACATACATCCTCTAAGGGTTTGTGATCTCTGTACAAATTAAGTGAGGAAAATCTTTCATATTTCTGACCTCAGTTAGCCTTGTGATCCTATTGGAAACAGGGGGCACAAAATCCTGCTGTTTCACTTGATTAAATGTCACATAACCAATCCACAGAGTTGATCAATGTAATACACTGAGTTTCCACATCATTAAGTAGACCTAGCTAAACCTAATGCAGTACAACAGACCTTTAACAAAGCCATTTTTAGATTCAAATAGCAACAAACAAGAGATTAAACAGTACCTTGCCTCCTAATAACTATATCTAACCTCAGTTTCAACCTAAAAGCAGCCTAATTAACACATTGGTCTTAAAGGATATCTGGCGTCCATGTTTGTCAATAGAGAGGGGTTTTCGGTGGGGTGATGTGATGCGGTTCCGGTCCCGGTACACTCTGTCCACCAGCCCGTGGTGTCGTGTCGATCTGTTCGCGTCCAGCCCTGAATTCTGACAAAGACAGAAAAAATTAGAATGAACTGATCGAATTGTGAGCATTTTTTAGTGAAGGTTTCTCTAATCCGTCTGCAGTATTGGACAAATGCAAATAAAAATGTATCTTTTTTATTTTTATTTTAAGTCATTCATGAAAAATGAATTGCACAAGCTCATGTAGCCCAGCCACAGTTACACTGTCCTTGAAAAATAAACATGTACAGCATGTAGAGCAGGGTGAAAGTCAATCGAGGATCGGGGCAAAAATTACTATAGAAAATTATAATGTCTCCATTTTGTTCTGTTCAAGTTTCTTGAAGCATTTTCTTGAGTAATATTTGCATGAGTCATCATTCAACTGGGCCTTGATGGGGAAACAACTGTACTAACTCCCACCATGCTCTTTCTGTAGAGAAATCTATACAAGTACTTCCCCTGCTAGAGAGTTGCTGGGTTGTCTGTTGGGTCTCAGTCAGATTTGACTTTATATAGAGGTTTGCCTCCTTCCACGCATGCATGTCAGGACAATAATGTTTTTCCAAGGATGGCAATGGAAACATAAAGATATATAGGACAAAGGTTTTATAAACCAGCACACTGCAGTGATAGATGAACATTTCTGCTGGGAGCCTAGTTTCAGAGATTCCCAATCTTGGTGTTATGCTTCAGTACCTTTTGGCCTGAGAGCAATATATTGTTCCCAGTGAATTTTGGATAAAAAAAGGAGTAACGTTTCTCTCTCATATATACAGACTGACACAACTGAAAACATTGCAACACAGAAGAATAAAAACAGTGAAAACAAAAGTTAAATAAAACATTTATCTCTTTTTTTTAGATGCCTGTTTTTAAAAAAGGGTTAGGGTTAGTCACTTTCTTTAACTACCACAACCACTTGTTCCTCAATTTAGCCCAGGACATTACATTAAATGTTTTTCTTTTGTTTATGAAAAGAGGCAATTTGCATTATTTTCTTTTCAAACATGACCTATTGTTGATATATTACAGATTACACACAGACTTCACATCTTATAATACTCATTATTGCTCAATGTCGCATCAAAAAGGTAATGTTAATTTGTCATTTTAACTTTATAACCTTATTATTATTTTCCGTAGCTCACTTAATAAACTGCCATGTTTGTTCATTAAATGTGTCTTAGAGGACACAAGCACAAAACTGTGGATTTACTTTTGGCGTAATACAGCACATCGTTGCTTTATCTCATAAACATTAACACCAGCGTCACATATGGTTGCTGTGCCAGCAATATAAAGTTCAAAGTTATGGTTGAATTCTTTAAACACAGTTTAAAAACGTGTTATTTTGGGACAGAGCTCCGACACTGACATAGGGTGGTGTAGGGGACATAGTGGTCTACCATACTAATAGTATAATATAGTAAGACACCTAATGTAGACTGTGGGTCGGTATATTTACTCTGCCTTCTTCTATTTATTCTAAACAAAGTGTTCTTGTGGCTTACATTAACAGTAAGTATATCATTTCCTGTGTAGCAGAGTATTTATCCCAGGAAACAAGGATCTCATGCTGCTTAAAAAGCCAATGTAAACATTTTTATAGAGCGGCCAGAGGTTGAATCAATATTGCAGGATATTACTTAGCCACAGAGCTGGGCACAATGGACATATATTGATATGAACCAGCTGTGGATGATTACTGTAAAAACTAATCCTGGTACAAATGAATTGTTCATTCGCCAACATTCAATGCAAATCTGTTACTCTTCATCTATAGTATTTCCACGGTTGCTGAAAAGATGCAGAACACAATTAATCCCTCACCTGAAAAGACATCTCGACAGCGCCGTTTCCGATCTGGTTGACGTTTGGCAAAGATCCTCCATAGTACTGCCCGCGGTTCGGCCCCAGCTGTAAATACTGAGTTTTCTGCAGCTGCAACTGGAAGCAGAACAACACCAGGTGAGACGAAAGGTTATTATGTAAATCTTTCCAAAAAGAAAAAAATACAGTTGTTTCTCAATCATAGCAAGTTCAAGCAGAACAATAAATTGGATATAAACACACCACAGACCTGCAGCAACGTGTCGTCAGTTATATTATTAACAATCACAATCAATGTCAATATCCTGCTCATTGTGTGATTGTGTTGTGCTCATTGATACTTTCGTTATTAGTCACCCGTTTGAGGTGCCAAAATTAAGATGTTAAGCGTTGCTGACACTCCAATTATCTACCGGCACAGTTTGATGCTTTTGCAGAAGTCATCAGAGCGGTGCAATGTGAATTTGATAACTTTAACATGAGATGGCAGGAAACCTTAGAGTGGAAGTAAAGAGATAACTCAACATCAGTTGAACTTGCCTTACAACAGTGTGTATTTCAAAACGACCTCCAGCTTCATTTCCCATTAGAGAACCCATAACCGGTCAATTAAATATTCACATGGAAGCCCACTGCTCACTGCTGGCAGAGCAGAACATCTAATAATAACAATTACTATGCCTGGATCACTGGTGTATTTTGATAAGCCTCTGACCTCAGAGTTTGTTTCTATAACTACATTCGCTGTTGACAAAGGACTACATATGGTAACATATTCAGATCTGGACGAAGCCGATCCGGAATCTTTTCAACCACAGGTACAGAGAGAAGAGAGACGCAGGAACAAAAACAAGCAGAGGGAGAGGGAGGGGATGGGGTGAAAAGGATGAAACTCTAAACCTCAGGCCTATTTCCCACAGGTCTAACTTTGGCTCAGACAAGAGCTTCCTAACATTTGTCTCTGCAATAATGAAAATAAAAATCCACCCAAAAAAACGACGCCACGGGCCTCCATTCAAGATGAAAAATAGGCTCTCTGGCCAACTTGTCTAGACATCCTAAAACATAAATTTAGAATAACATGGTAGGTCCGACACAATAGATTCACCTACTAGTTTCTAGCAAATACAAACAGATTTACATATGTTATATTCATCATTCATCAGAGAAAACCGAAATATATCCTCAAGCAAAACAGCCATTTTTACCACAGCAGACATTTTGAGTTGTCATAGAAGGAAAAGAACAGGTGTTCCTAATAACATTAATGATCTGTTATGTTCAAGTGTCCCAGTAAGTCATGACACAGTGTGACAGCGAGCCAGCATGCACAATATGCAAACCCTGAAACCGAGGCAGCTAAATGGAATTCAGCCATTATTCATTTGATTATTCACACCTGTGCTTTTCTTGCTGCCACATGTCAAAATGTCCAAAGGCCTATTTGTTTCCCCTTTCCGCCTCTTGGTCAGACTGTATTTGCAGATTCAAGACAGAGAAAAAAGCTTTAGCTTTGGTAGCTACAATGTAAACAGTCCTGTAGCAGCCTGATATGACAGGACAAAAACAGGAGATCTGCGTTGACATTGCTTCACTCCTCTTCTCCACACTGACAGCTACAGAATGAAAGCATTGCAGTGTAGTTACAGCCTGTGTGCCCACCATGCTACCACCCAGCAGCAGTCACCACTGAAGCCCAGCCGCCGTAGGATTTATTTTGGAGGCCTGTGCTGAATGTGGCTTAAATTCCACATAATCTGCTTGCACTCATCTTTTGGTGTAAATGTCATTCATGTTGCAGAGAGCGCAGAGGCCTGAAGACCTGTCAGACAAGTTTACAAAGCCACGGTGCAAACACACCCCTCCATATACCACTACACACACACTGCATACAGCACCAATTATAAGGGAATATATATGTATGTGTGTGTGTGTGTGTGTGTGTTTCTCTTGTTGTGGCTAACGTCGTTTGGTCTAATCGTCTCTTCTCTGAGAGCACGAGACGAGGGAACCATCGCTGCAGTTGGACGCGCGCTGTCAAATACGCATGCACGCCCCTTTGCTTTCCACTTGCGTGGGACAAAAAAAAATTGGAATAACTTTTTCGGACGAGGGTCCCTGTCGTTCGTATCTGCGTTACAGGACTGTCGCCTCCTGCCAGCTCTGCTCGTTGTCATTCGTGTGAGAAAATAACAGCCGAAGCGGACAGGAAGCGTCGTTTGTTATTGTTTACCTGGTCTGCTCTGGCTGCGTGCATATTTGACAGCTCGCTGACAACAAACGGAGAAGAGGTGGAAGGGGAGGGAATAAAACAAAAAAAACAAGAAGCGGGGTTGTTACCCTTGCTGCCCGGGTAATGCTGAGGTCCTTCATCACTTCTTCAAACGCCGCTGTCTCCTCTGCCTGCTTCTGGTTATGTAAAGCGATTTTCTCGCTGAATTTCCGCGGATTGTTCGAAGTCGCCATGTTTCGCTCTTCTGCTCCGTTTTCCCTCAATGTCCAGTGTCAAGTGACACGGAGTGAGGACACACAGCTTCCGGTTAGAGAGGCTGAAACCAAACACCACAGAGTGCAATTTAAATTTGTGTTTGGAGGGGGACAAAAAGGGCTCACAGAATCACTGATATACCAGCAGGTTGAGGGCTGCAGGATATGGTAAAAGCAGCATATTGTATATATATATATACATATATATATATATTATTTGGACAGATATTGGCAAACATTTTACCTTTATCAAAAAAATGCAGCTTCCTACAAATTGCATATTGCACTTGGTCACATTGCGATTTAAATAATATTGTGATTAATTGTGCAGTCCTAGCAAAAATGTCCCTATTGCCCATCCCATCGGAGTTCCAAGTACATTTTTACCTTGCCGGTTGTACAATTGTCTTCAGCGACCACTCATTAAAGGTCCGGTGTGAAGGATTTAGCGGCATCTAGCGGTGTAGTTGCAGATTACAACCCCCTCACTTCACCCTCTCTTTCCAAGCGCCAAGAAGAAACTACAGGAGCTACAAAAAAACTAAATGGCGCTTTCTAGAGCCAGAGTTTGGTTTGTCCATTCTGGTCTACATGATGAGAAATACAGTGGTCCAACGTGGCGACTTCCATGGAAGGTGAGCTGTAGCATCTGTAGATATAATCGAAATGCACAATTAATTAGAATATTATCGAATCTCAATATGGCCAAGTGCAATTTGTTGATAAAGGTAAGTAAGTGACAAAACAGCATTATAATGAAGTACTGGTGCGCTGCAGAGATATTTTTATAATATTTTTTTTTTTAGTGGAAATTAAAATTCTGATGCAAAAAAAATCATTCCTAGTAATCGTGATCACAATCTCAAAATAATTGTAATATTATTATAAAAACATAATTATTCATATTTTCAGTTAATTGTAGAATGAAAATATACCTATTAATATTATATTCCATTTTTGCCAATAGATCCTCTTAATGTGACACACTAGTGTCAAGAACCATAACACACACCTATTACAAGTTGCTAGAGGCCAAACTGAAGACTTACAACTGCCTAATTAAACATTAAAAAGTTATAAATTAATTTCGTAATGAAAAGATAAAAAGCAACATTTCACATTTGTGGATGTGTCGCCAGCAAACGCAGGTTTTGTTAAATACAGGCCCATCAGCACTTCAACCGTCTGTTGATTGCTTTTCTTCTAAAACTGAACATGAAGCTTTTGTTGCGGCAAGGCCTACTTTTATTTTGAAGCTAAACCCGTCTGGTTTCCGGTATCTGCACGGTTGTCTCCGGCTGACTTGACGCAGCTGCCTCGGTGAGGTTTTGCGTGCTCACGTCGCTGTACGGGGGTGTAGTGGAGGCGCACCGCACATCTGGACTGCGGAACAACCGCAAATGAGACTTTTCAAGAACAGATTTTTGTGCGTGTCTCTTTTATACAACAACATCAGATGGCAGGAATATGAGGAATGCTGTGGGATTATCTATTATGGTATTATTATGTATTAATTATTATAGTAGTAGTAGTAGTATTTAAATATAAGTCATTTTTAGGCGCTGAGGTGATCCAGTGTGACAAGTATGTTAATATATATATATATAATAAAATAATGTATCTTTCTTGTCTGGGTTGGCCTAAAGGTTTCTGACATGAAATCTGAGGCCAGAAAGTGGCAGTGTCTGCCTCCTCTGGAGTTGTATGTGCACCCCTGCTGACTGAGGATAAACGCTGTCACAACAGTGTCTCCCCCAGCTTTCCAGCCGAACAGATTCAGAAGGTGAATGGACTGCACACTCCTGTTAGAGACTTACTCATGTGGTGACAAAGGAGCTCTTAGGCGAGAGAGAAACGAGGGGGTATTTCTGTCACATATTTGTTAAGCCTTTTCCCCAGTGAATTATATGATTAATGCATCAACCTGGAGAAGAGGAGACCTTTGCGTGTCCGTTCTTGTTTCTTGACGGCAGTGGGAGTTTTACACTCACAGCAGCAGACAAAAGCAGCTCCATGCACAACACCAAGAGCCCCGTGAGCTTTATATATGTGAAGATATATCAGGCTCAGTGAAAACACAGCAGACACATAAAACATCTCAAGCGTTTGTTTGCTGGGAGTCCAAATGCCACACCTACAATTATTGTTTCTTTTTCTTTCTTTTTTTTTACAGGCACAGTGGAGCTGTTTCACCTGCCATTCAGGAGAGTGTAATTTGGTTGTAAAGTAACCATGGTAACATAGAAAAAGAAGTGACTCCAGGGCAGGTGGAGAGAAGGAGTCTGTGCACAAGATGATTCTGTTATTGCTGAATAAGCCATCAGGGGGGAAAGCGTTGAAGGTTGAGTCCGTTTGTTTTGGCCTGCAGAAAATGAGGAAAGCCACATGTCGTGGAGGATTCCTGTATCCAGCTGTCCTCTGCCAGATATTGTTAATGTTTATCTTATGTGCAAACATGCTGCACTAACATTAACAGCCTAGCAAGCTGCAACATATCAGAGGCTTGATGTTGAAAGCAGCAGAGAGGGAAAGTCTCACTTCACTTTATCAGTTAAACCTGAAAGTCTGGAGGCCCAGACTTTGATTCTTTATTTTCTTTTTCCACCACTAAACCACAGTTTTCAGCCACTTTGGCTTTCTAGAAAAGTATTTGTGGATTACAGAAGGTTGATGGAACAATAGTGAATGCATGTGAACACCAAAGGCTGGGTATTAAAAGTTCATTGTTGAGGCCTTTGACTTGTGGACTATTCTCGGATCACTATGAGCCCATAATGTCACCTTTTCCTTTTTAACAGAAGTAACTATTTTACTCATGTTTTCCTTGTTCATAAAACAGATGCATGTATTTCTCCTAAACATGGCAGCATTTTTATGTCACCAACAATAGCTTACTTTGTTCTCCGCTCAAATTAGATTGTTAAGCCTGTTAAGAAGAATCTCTCTTCGTTCAATAGGTGCTCTATGTTTAGCATGAAGGACCAGTGAGGAGTTAAGGTGACAGATGGACCCACTATAGGATGTCCCCATGTCCATCAAGCTACATTGCCAAATGCTGTTTCAATAAAATCAGAAAGTCTCACATAACCACAGAGATGGTTTAAATCACCAATTCAATGAGAAAGAGAAGAATCTGTTTAGTTCATCAAATGTAATGTAACAATGTGGCTTGGTGTATTCTGTATGTGGAGAGTGAAAGTAACAGCAGGGGGAGGTAAAGGTCTTGTTGGACCACCAAGCTTCCTCTTCATGTCTGTGTGAGAGTGTGTTGGTAGCACAGTTTCACTTTAACAGAGTCATGAAAGTATCTCATATAATTTATTAATGCAGCTTGATATAGGTGCAGATGAGAGATAACACTAGTTAAACTTGGATGAACAATCGGTGTGTGTTTCGGTAAACTTAAGGCTTAAAATATCAATTAAACACAAATGTTCTACCCAGCAATTAAATATTTAATCATACACAATATCCAGTCAAGCAATGCTAATAATTGCTGTGGTCAGATTGGAAACTTGTCTGTTGAGTCATACATTTTAATATAACACTTAATTCAGCTCTTGTCAGCAGCTGTCTATTTTCAGAAGCAGCTTTTACAGGAAATATTCTAGTTTCAGCTTTTTCATTGGCCAGAACCATGATTTCAGTAAAAAGGGAACTTCACTGTTGCAAGTGTAAGACACTAAAGACAAACTACATGACTTGACACACGACTCAGACCTTGACCCACAACGCTGGAGGTTGTTCGGTGAGATGATGTTATTAATGTATACTTTGACAGCAAACTGTTTGACTTGGCTTACATGAGTTTATACAGTATTTCCTGGAATGTGTTGTGAATTTTAATGGTGTTTTTTTATTGAATTATTTTAGAAATCTTTTCTTAACAAGACTTTATTCCAAATGGATAACTGTTATCATGCACTGAACAATATATTTTATTTATGTAGAATCCTTTTGAATAAGAACAAGCAATATTAGGTGACTAAAATGTCTTTAAACTTTTAAATACATAATCAAGAAATATGAATTGTGGCAAGTTTCTATATATAATAGTTTTAGCAATGCTATGCAGTCACTCACTTTAATTTATAACTTTCGTATTTCTAGATCATGATTGTCAATAGCACTTGTGGAAATGACACCGTCCCCTGCACGTCCCCCAGCTCCCCTGCAGGTCTGGCTGTGGGGCTGACGCTCTTCTTTCTACTTCTGGGGGTGCTAGTTGGTGTGATGTTGTACAAATACCACAGAAACATCAGGGATATGATGCAGTTTGGACACAGAAGAATCCAGAAGAAGGAGGACTTTGTAGAGACACAAGAAGCTGATCCCCATCAGTATACCAGTATGATCAGTGAACAGTCAATATCTCAGACCCCTATTTATGAAAACCTGACAAGGCAAACTACTGGATACAACAGGCGTTCAGCACACCAGAGCAGGTAAGCTACACTTCAAGTATTTTCATACTATTAGTGAAAGGTTTTCTTAAATGGCAAGATCAGTTTCACATTTTTAGACCAGTTTAGAGGAAATGTTGACGCTGAAATGTAATTTGTGAAACTGGAGAGATCAGAACAGAAACAGATGAAGAAACACTGCGGTGTGAATTTCCTCATTTTGCACAAACCTGTTGTATTATATACGCAATTTGGCCGGCGTCTGGAAGAGATCTCTCCTTCTGTCTGTTTCCTGCGATTTAAAGTCTATTAATCAAATGTGCCAGCTGATGACTCAATGCTGGAGTTTTTTCCTGCTCAAGAATAGAAACTGGGAACGGGAAATCCACTGAGTTTACATAATATTTGTCTTGTGTCATAATGGTTTTACATCAGAGAAGCTGGAATATTATCCCCTGCACTTATTTTTTCTTTACAGGTCGTCCAGTGAACCTCAAGAGGATTTGTATTTGCAGTGTGATTTACCAGATGAGGCAATATACAGCAATGATCCGGCATGCAACCTCTCCATCCTCCCAGACTCCCAAGAAGAAGACGTGTATATTGTGCCAGATACATTATAGGACACATCTCTATTCATGGCTGCATGTTCTCACGGCATTGCTCGAGTCATGGTATACATTTTTACAAGGCAAAAATATGCTGCTGCTTTTTGATACAGTTGACCAGTATGTAAAATATATACTGTAGTATCTGCGATGGGTAGATATTCAGTACAAGTGCAGGTGTATAACCCCACACAGTATATTCAATAGATATGTTTGATTATTGTACATCGTCAGTAAAATTAGGCCTGGAATTGTATATTTAAGTTGTTGTGTATATTTTGTTAAGTATGGAATATGGGGGGAAATAATGCAACATGATGTTATATTTGACTGTTTTTTCACTATTCATTTCAACTGCTGGACACACTGTACAAATGATCATGTTTTGAATCCAATGTAATCAATTTGCTGATAAGATCGGATTGTTTTATGGCTTACTCTTGATACACCTGGAATTAACAATGAGTCACTTTTAATTTATTTTGACCTTTAGAGAGGAGAAGTGTGAGCAATTTATTCACACTTCTCTGATAAAGTCTTTTTTTGTATTCACAGTTTTGCACTTGGTCATTCATTATATTAGGAAAACATAGAAAATTAACATTTGAGTTGTTTAGAATAGTTCATTAACAGGTTTAAAATAAATCTACAAATACAAATTACTTTTTTAAATACACTGAAAACCAGACGGGGTATGTGAAAATGAAAATATGCTTCACATTTATGATCATGTATAAGTAGGTGGATGTGTGGGTAGGTATAGTATTCATTATATTTTATAGAACAGTAATGGTTCTAAAGCTATCATCATGTATTGATATTCAATAAATCAATCAATAAATGTTTGTCAATAGCACTTTGTTGAATATTTATCAGCCTTGAAGTCAGTCACAGGAGGCCACAGTTGACACAGAAACAGGTTACAGTAATTAACTCTGTTTTAACACTGAAACTTATTTTTGCTCTATATGGTCACCGCAAAAAAATGTTCTATAAATTGTCATTAACAGCCATGATGTAAAATAATTTAAGCGTATTAAAATTATAAATGAGTCCTGGACTATTTAGGAGGGCTTTATTATTCTGATTCGGGTCAAATTATAAATATACATTTATGAAGAGGAAACTCAAAGTACACAATATTAAGCAAGAAAAAACAACTTAACAATATAAATAAAGTTTAAGAAATTAAACTAATTAAAAACTATTTTTTATTATGTTTAACAGCCACATGTTCTGTGTGTCTTTTTAGGCTTTATAAAATATGTGAGAATAGAAAAAACAAATTTACTTTATTCTTTATTCTATCCATAAAATTCTGTAAAGACAAGACGTACACTGCAGGAATTACATTTTTATCTGCGACAAACACCACTGCTAAACATGGTACTTGCACAGGAAACATTTAACACCAAGTACAACATTATGATTTTAAAAACATGCAGAGGTCAGCAGCACTTTTTGTGTTCTGTGGTGACTGTGGTTCATCTGTTTGTTTGTTTTTTCAGAACAGGCAGACAAAGAGGATGTGAAAACTATTCTGACTGTGTAGCACAAAAATTTACTGTCATAGTTTTACTGTTAATTTACTGATATAGTTAACATATTTTAGAGAGACACTTTGTACAAAAGATACAGAACAACAGGTGTGAATTGTGCTTCTCTGGATGGTGAATGACAAAAGATGCTTTTATTTTTAATTGTCTGTCACCCGGGAATTTATTTCAGCAATAGTGTTCCAGGAAGGCTACGTGAGGATTAAAACCAGGAGAAAGCCAAATACAGGAGGCTAATAAGTTCATGCTGTCTATCTTAGATTACACACGGAAGGGATTGATAAATTCTGTCCCTAATTCTTTTATACTTGTATACTTTGGGTGGTACTGCAATGCAGGACCTTTCAGAATCTAAGATTGAAGACTTTAACATCCACACAGTTGTGTAAGAACTGAGGATGTCATCCCTGAAACAAAGAGTATAGAAACAAAGAAATGAATGAGCAGTTACTGGACACAGGTCTGAATTTACCAATAGAATAGTGTAATTACAGTGACATTTGTGTCTGCCGCTCTGATTAATCACCTATTTATTCATCTGACTATTTACCAGGGTCACTCAACATGCCCCACCTTTAAATACGTCTACTTTATTAATTGTAAAACAACATATGGTCATATTTAAGTGACCTTTACCCATCCAAAGATAAAAATGTTTAATTACTTATTAGGGTCGGTGGTATCACGTATTGGAATAATTAAACCATAAACATTTCAGAGAAGTTGGCTACCGATTTCAGTTCACTTCAGTTCACTTACTAAATATCACTGAAGTATGAAGCTCATTTTATTACTTTTAAACACCAGAACCTTGAGGTGCAGTTTGGCATGTTTTCAGCTCCCCTCATGAACTCCTTTTCTGCTGTGAATTAAGTTTTCTTGTCTTTGTGATCATACTTATCATAGGGTATCTCACATTATTATTTGTTCTTTTTTCTAATAACTTATCTCAACAGCACTTAAAAGCAAATATTACAGACACAAGCTCTGATAATCTGTATTGAAAATACACTTACAGTATCATCATAGATATGTAATATGAACATTGAGTTTACACAGCAAGCTGTTTTTTTCCTTTTTACAATTCCCGTTTTCTCCGTCAAATTAAACTAATGATTCTGTTATTTTTTTTTTCTATCAACTAGTTAGTCAAGGCCGCAGTGAACACAACTTCAAGGTCATTAATGGGAGATAGAAGTTATCATATCTTTGAATGCTGAATTGTTTGGCACACACTGACCTTCCTAATCTACTGTGGCTGAAAGTATTTCTGTGGATAAATGACAAATATGACAAAATATATCATGCTCACGTGTTTATTTTGAAATGTACATGTTGATATATTCAAGTGCAACAGTTCAGTATGAATAAATCAGAACATTTATGTTGAATCTTCACATAATTATTGAAATGTCTAACACAACAAACAAAATGTCTAAACCAAGTGCCTCAATACAGTACTTTTAATAATAAATGACAATACAATTAAATAGTATTTATGCTGTAACATAAAAAAACAACAATAACAAAACACAAATAAGTAATAATAAGTTTAGGACCATAAATAGAACTTAAAATAAATAATTTTCAAAGGCACCGTCATGAATGAACAGATCTACTGCTTGATCCACAATGCAAAACCAAACAGTGGCTCTGTGCAGCAGTAACATGTTTTTTAATCTTCAATACAAAGTAATGGTGGATAATTGCAATTTTAATCTATAAGTATGCAGATGTGATAATATGTACATTTAAGAACACATCAGGGGTTTTACCATGTAACATTTTTTTTTTAAGGGGCAATTCTTTCCCAAAGTTAAGGGTTTAAAGTCACTTTTCCTTCTTTTTCATCAGGCGCAGTAACATTTACTGACAATCATGTCATCAAAGGGAGTCAGCTTCAACTTTCCCCTACTATCATAGTGCATGAGAACCATTGGCTCATATTCTGACGGCACGCAGCAGGGGCGAGGTGTCTCTCCTTTGGTAATCTGGTGCAGTCTTGACTTCACCTGAGTGTGCATGCTCGCAGGCTTGTAATTGTGGGGGCAGGTGCCGTCACAGAAATGCATGGTATACTCGACTGGGGCCACCACCCAGTCCGTCCAGCCGATGTCTTTGAAGGACACAGTGACAGACTTCCGGCAGCACCATCCTCTTTCGTCACAGTCATCTTCCTTGTTGGAGCGAGGCAGCCTTGTCCTGCTGGCTGGTTTGGGCTGTGTGAGGCCTAATTCCAGAGAAATGGTTGGATTTGCCTCCAGGGCATCTTTTCTACCAACAGCGATCCCTACGTCCACAACCAGTGCCTGACCGCCATCGGTCCTCATCCACTTCTCCACCTCAGGGCTGACGTCCAGCATTACATGTTGTGTGCTTGACACATTGGCAGGGACTGGTGAGTTTATGTGTGTCAGGGCTACAGAGTTTATCGGCTTCATCCTGTTGACTTTCACTTTAATCTTTCGTCTTACCTCAGCCTGAACTGAAGTGGGTTTGTTTAAAATCTGCCTGGAGATCTGAAGCTCAGCCCGAGCTAGTGTCAGTTCAGACTGGATGTTGGGGTTCTTATGGAAAACAGCTCTAAACCACTGCATGCTTTGACCAGACTGTGTTTGCTCTCGCCTCTGAGGTACTTTTATTGGCTCCACTAGAAGAACAAAGAGAAGATTAATTAGAACCCAAGTTGGAAAAATCCATTCCCACATTACATTTATTTAAACATCACAGCATGGAATCAGACTACATAAACTCGTATGAGTGGTTGGCTCATTTTCATTGTCATTGCTAAAACCATGTGTTCAAAGTGTAACATCATGTACAAGGTGTGCCTTTCACGCTGATGATTTCTAAAAGCTTGTAGGAATGTGTTTGCTTTGTTTACAGGACTGTTGGATGGCTACAGAACTTCTATTTCCAACCATTTGCATTATGTTTAAGCTCTGCACAGAAGAATTCCAGGGAGTCACAGATCTTCACCTGGAGCATGAACTATAGGGGCAGAAGTTATTTATAGCACAACCACACCAGCACAATAGCTTTTGTCTGCAGACGTAAACTCACACTGCAAGAATTTTTTTTTGTTATGAAATGTTCTTCCTCTACTCCTACTCAAACATTTAACATTTAACGTGTGACAATGGATCAATTGGGCCTAACTTTCTTTTTGATGTTTCCCCTGTCCAACAAAGATCTCACCTGTAGCTGGAAAGAGCACAGTAGACAAAGTGGACTGCGAGGTTTCCCTCGTCGCCTGGGTGGAGTTCCCTGTCATCTCTCTCAGTTTTTCCCCGTAGAGCTGATACATCTCCCTCAGCTCTTCCTCCGAGGCCTTTTGGGTTGGCCTTGGCTCCTTGTCCATACCCAACGAGCTGAGGATCCCCGTCTTTACCGCCTCCAGAAACAGAACCCTCTGGCTGTCGGTTCTATCCACGTCAGGTGCACCTTTGTGGGCCACGTGAGGCCGGCTCTCCCCTAAGCTAGAGAAGGAAAAGAGGAGCAGCAGTGCGCAAGAGATATGTCGCTGGAGTGATCTGAGCATGGTGAGCCTGCCAGGTAGGTTTGGTCTGAGAGTGCTGCAGCTCAGTGGATGGGGTTTGTCCATGCTATAAATGAAATTCTTGACATGCTTTTATTTATAGAGCTTCTGGGTTGCCACACCCCTGGTTAGTCAGGTGAGCCTGTGATGGGCTCAGCTGGGGCCATATGTCACTATGTGGCAACATTTTGCAGTATTGTGCTCTGGGTTAACAACATGTGACAATATGAAATTGGACATATGAGTAATTAAGTGCAGTCCTTTTTAGTTTCATTAGCACACAATAGTAAGTGAAAGCAGAGATGGGAGGGACATAAGATGAAAGGATTTCTGGGTGAGATTTGGTTATGTCATGAGTACATGGTGTGCACCTCAGCATGCTACGTCACCAGGATTGTTAGTCGTCACTTAATCAAATAAATGACCATATGTCTTACAGTGACCAGTTCTAAGGAGGGGGACAATAGGCAATTACATTAGCTCCTCCAGGGTTGATAATCTGATAGTTTATTGATCCCTATAAGGCTGTGTTTCTCCCTTGTTCCATTGCAACTCTGCCAAGTATGATCAGAGGTCAGAATCAGATACAGCCTTGTTCACTTGCAGACAACGTGCTGAAAACCTGGGAAACTCCATCTCCAAATACTACTGGCTACCTTCCTGCCAAAGACCGCAAACCACTATATGAATATGACTGAATATTGTACAGCTTTTAGTGCCAACATATAACAAACAAAGACAGAAAAAGGTGGAGAGAGTTTGTTATCTGTATGTTACTAGTCCCTCCTTAAACCAGCCCAAAGAGGAAATGTCTCAAGGTTAAAAATGAGATAAAAAGAGAAAGAGGTTATCTCATCTGTTGAAAGGGGGAACTGTCTCGTGACAATTATCTCTTGACTATTCTTACAGTAATCACATCATCACACAAACTGATGTAAGGAGCTCATCAAAGATCAGACGGAGCGCTCTGTAAAAGTGCTCCCTTATTATGATGATTAAAATAGACTGACAACATATCTGATCTACGGTCCTCCACAGTTGAAAGAGAAAACAGCATTCCTGCCCTTTCAGTAGTAATTGTTGGGACAGACTGACAAGCTAAACACGGTCGACAACTGCGTCTGCATTGTGGAGAGTTGACAAGCAGTTACTGTAACAGCATATTATGTGAGAATCCTCACTTCTGTCAGTTGATGGGGTCAGTGCACTGCTTGATTGCAAAGCAGCTTCCCCGCCCTAATACGTGGCCTTCTGTGTCATTGACCCTATTCTTTCCACCTGAGGGCATTCCCCACTGCAGCAATTGCTGACTGATAAACATTATCATTTATGGAAAGTGTCATAAAAGGGCACTTATAACCATTTGTGCCAAATTGTGAGCTTGGAAGTATAACATTACCTTTCAGCAACCAGATAGTAAAACTGTTGTGTCATAAGGGGAATCATAAAAATTTAATTAAATGGTAATATGTACATTATAAAACAATAAAATGAGCATCACAGAACCATAAAATTAAGTATGTGAATGCTAATTAAATGTGATAGAGAAGTCTCATTAAATGTGGTTAGCTGATGCAATACATTGCGAAAGAGGAGTTTCAAGATAAATGTGAGATGGCCAACCAAAAAAAGAAAAAAAAAAAAAATTCTACTGAAAAAAATTGCAGTTATTTGTGTTGACTTTCCTCACATCTTTGCTCTTTACATGTGACATGTTAGAGACGTTTTCTTTAGGACTAATGATTATTAAAACGAAACAAACTGAGAATCACTCTTTGGTCGATCTTCTCACAGCTCATATACAATATGTGACTAAATTTGACTATTGACTAAAAAAGGGACACAGGACCAAAAAATTGGGAACCAATTTCGATCATTTCCCAATATCAAAAGCCAGGACTATATTTGAACATGTGAAGAAGTTCCTGTCCAGATATCAAAAAGTGCCAGAGAGTGTGAATTTCTGAGCGGTGAGTCACTGAGGTGATGCACAATCATGTGCTTTCCCAGGCGAGCCATCTTTGCAAGTTGAAAGTGTGTGAAAGGTGTAAAGTGACTCACGCACTGTTGTTTAAACTGTCATTAGACTCTTAGTGAGATAGACAGGAAAGAAAGCACTCTCATGATGTTTTGTCATCATGAGAAGATGCTTCCGCATAATGGGAGTAAATTTCATCACACATACTGGTCACAGACAGAAACTACAATTGCAGGCGCATTGTGCGATTCACATGGCACAGTGGTTTCCAGCCTGGTTGTCGGGGCCACCTGCAAGGGGTTGTGGAGCTTACATTTTACATTTAAATGAAGCAATTGAAACTGAAACCCCAGTTTTTATTGAACTGCTCACAACTGAAAGTTGATTGCTTCTATTAGTTTGCCAACACCAATGAGTTAATGGCAAATAAACGTATAAACAGGTGGATAAAGGGCGCTTTACAATCCACTGCTATTTCATTACCATTTGTTCGTTCATTTACTTTTTTATTTATTTATTTATTTATTTTACCATTTTCTCTTCCCTTTAGGTTCACAGTGCATTTAGTGGCAGGGGACTGAACCATTCCCAGAATGCTCTTGGCAGAAGAGAGTATAACTCTTCATTTCCAGGGTTAACATGGATAGACATGTAGCTCCATGGCACCCTCTGGTGGCTCTAAAGCCACAGTACATACTTTAATGAGCTAAATTATGGCTTGATTGGATGTGAGAAGGAGCAGAAAATGTAATATGAACCTCATATGGAACTGAGATTATGTCTCCAGGCAGCGTATAAGAGGAAATAATTGTTTTCTAATGCAATTAAAGGCCGAAGAGTGTTATGTGTGTGCCTGTGGACATTTCATAGAGATGTGAAAAAGGCCACCTAATGAGAAGGCAGTCCTGTTATTTGGTAGTTCTGTTCATTTGTTTTATTGCTCCCTTCATGTTCAAGCAGTTTAAGTACAAATGACAGTCGTGATTTGATCCAGTCAACAAAGAAACTGTGACTGTGCCAAACTTCACTGATCATAGATAGTTTTAAAGATAAACATTAGTAACACTAAGATGTTTTATTCTTTATTTCCAGCTCACAGAATTTAAAAGAAAGTAAGGCTAGACTATCACAAAACTGGAATTAGGCTCTTTCTTTTACCTTTCAGTCTTAAGTAAGTAAGTAAGTGAAATTAAGATCAGAGATTAAGGAGGAAACCAAATGACTGCAAAAAGAGAAAGAGATGACTTTCATGCCTGACTGGTTCCACTAATGAGCATGGACCATTTAAAGATGACCTACACTGGATCACATGGAGAGCACCGCAAAAGGACACAGTCTATCTTTTTATAGCTCCAAACTCCATCATCTGTCTAGTGAAGAACAAACACATAAAGAAGTTTGCCTTTTAATGTTCATCTGAAATAAATACAGCAACAGTTAACACAGAAGAACCAATTTGCTAGTCACCTGTGTTGAACTCTTTCCCTGAAAAATCACTTCCTTATAAGAATTCCTGTAATAACTCTAGTCTTGGGTCACTTATTGTTTGTTGATGAGAAAAGATAAAATGCCCCAAAAAATGCAGATATAAATCTGCGATAACACATTACATAGATACATGTTAGAACTAGATCACTGGTAAATTTGTGTACAGCCAGACATTCATACAGTAATTGAAATAAATGTGCTCATACAAATAAGTTCACATACACATATTAAAAGAAATATATAAAAAAACAGAAGTAAAAGTAAGCACAAAAAATTAGACAAAAAGAAAACAAAACACATACTTACATATAGATAACAAAGGATAAATGGTTATCTATATTTAAGTATATATGTAAAAGACCAGGAACAATTGCTTGATAACCACTGCAGATTCCTTTCCATTAATAAGTGACTGGCTGTTTCCACAAATGCAAAGTGGTTCTGCAAGCTTCACATAGGAGGATACATTTTACTTTTCTGTCTACATCGACTACATCTTTAAAGAACAAAATAAAAAACTTTACATTTTACAATAAAATATAGGTTCAATCATTCAATATATAATGTGGAACTTTAAACACACTGTTAACTTTCAGAATACATTTTACCATGAATTAATCTTGCTTGAATGGCTGGTGGCACAACTCTTACTCCGTATAAAATATAAATATATTTTTGTAGTATTGTTTTATTGATACTTCTACAGTGAAGTGATCCAATCAAGCTGTTCATGACAATCACAAAGAGACAGGACACCCCAGACCAGAAAAAGGGAGAGAAACAGTAGTCATGACTTTATGAAAGGATTACTCCTACCATGATTAAAACCACAAGATACATTTGGTTACAGTAGCATTATATACAAAGTAGTTACTTGAAACAAATCTTGAAAACCCACTATAAATTAATCTAACTGGGTCACTCAGATTCACTTTGAACTCTGCAGACGGTTGATTTTCACCACTCAGAGTTTTCACTTTAAGCTGTTTCAAATAAACAGTGAACTTCACAAGAGAACAATGAAGGATTCACGTTCCTCCGGCTTACATAAATGGACATGAGACATCACAGGACAAGAGAGCTAACCATTGTTGTATATGGAAAAAAACACATCATGGTACCACTGGGGGACAGACACAGATCAATCACTGCTATTCAGCTTGACTTCAAAGAACAATTGTTCCGCATCCTTTCTGGTGAGGTTTTATCCCCCCCAGACAGACACTGTGTTATTTTACATGATGGGTGAGAAGGATTAACACCCTGCATGTAGCACAACATATGGAAACAAGTGGACTGCATGTGTTTCTGGAGGATTTACAGTACCAATGCCTTCACAGTTGCAGGGTTATTGCTAAATAAAGCCTTATTCTGGTGACCACATAGGATTGTTAAGAAGATCCTAGAGAGGGGGAGTTTGCCAAAATGGGGACCAGGAACCCCCATGGATTAGGAGTACATGAAATAATGAGGAAGTGACAGCATCTTTCAGTATCTGACAGTTCCCATTACACTCAGTGAAACCAATATTTAACAACTGATCACAGAGTATCAATAAGAGGGTGGGGTCAACACGCCTTCTCACTTCATTACTAGGGTC